TATCTGGGATAACCAAAATATCAACTCTGAGCATCATGTATATAGGAAATTTGGGGACTTTAAATGGTGTCATATCATTTCAGAATCTTTATTGTCATAATGTTTATTTTTCCAAAGTAGATGTGACAATATCAAGCTTTACTTTATTGTTATGACATATAATAATGATAATATATATATTATACTACAATCAAAACTTACAGTCATTTTCTAGCCTAACCATAATAGCAATTTTTATTGCTTTATTTAATAGTAGGTTTTGAAAGGATTTCAATGCTTTGAGTAAATGGTTAGAGAGCAGGAGCCAAAGGAGGAGAGAAAAAGGTAAAGTATATGAATGGGTAAGAGATAAGAACACAGCATGGTTGGAGGCCAATAAGTGTGAAGATACAGTGAAACATTGCATGTCTCTACTGTGATTTTTAGGTCCAATCTTTCCTTATTAAAATTTCAGCCAGTGGTTGAGGATATAGCTCAGCGGTGGGATACTTGCCTAGCATACACAAGGCCCTAGGTTCAGTCCCAGAAATGGAAAACACTTCACCCAAGGAGGCATCAGAATCACCTCCAGTGTGCCGAAGTGTAGGTCAGTGGTAGACCATTTGCCTAGCATGGTCAAGGTTCTGGGTTCCATCTCCAGCTCTAGAAAAGAAGAAAAATGACCTCTGGCCAGAGTCTGAGTTATTTTTGCATAATGTCAACATGATCCACCTCAACTGGTCTTAACAGAGTAGAACCTCCATTCCAGATCCAAAACTGCTGTCTAGGAACCTTTCCCGCTCATGAGCAGGTAAGAATTTTCATACAAAAAGAGATGGTACAAGCTTCCGCCCTGTACAGTTCATTCCTGTTATTTGTACTTCTAGGACTGAGAAGCTCTACGTGTCACTCATAGCTACAGTGTATGTCAGAGTCTACCAGAGCCACAAAACATGGGAAGGATCGGAGGGTATCCGGTGAGGAGGAGTCACTGAGCTGACAGGTGTGAGGACAGGTGCCCCTAAGTAGATTTGTTGCACACTGCTTTTCTGTAAGAGCCTGCTTCATGCATATGTCTGTGTTTTTGTACAACTCTGAAGGAAATGGCCCTTGACCTAGTGTACTCATTCACCAAAAATGCATTTAGGCTGAGTTGGACAATCATTCCATATGGTTCCAATTAGTCCTCAAGGACAGTCTTTTTATTTTTAACTTGACAAATGATAGCTTCTAATACACATTTATGGAAAATAAATGAATGGATGATTCCTATTCTCCTACAGTAGACATGCAGTGGGTAGAAAGCAGTGAAATAGACATTTGTGAAGTGTTAGTTTAACACTGTGTTTCTTCTGAGATCAGTAATTGCTGGATTTTCACTTGCTTGCCTCTTTAGAAATGGATCAAGACAAAGTTCAGAGACAAAAGATTTCAAAAGAGTCAGAGTTTCCCACTCTTAGCCCTTCACTCTACTTGTAAATCCCTCCAGGGTTGACATTTTGACCCCAATTGCCTGAGACACAAAAATTAATAGAGAAAGAAAGATAAGATGGACCATATTCCCTTCTCCATTAGTTCTGTTTTCCCAGTTCAAAGCTGTGGCTGGTAGAGAGGGTGCGTGGGCTAAGTCTGTACTCTGGGCTCAACAGATGAACTGAAAAGTGTTTGCACCGAGCCACAATCCAGGGAGAGCTGTGCGACAAGCAGGGTTGTGGAATTTGTAGGTCTGATTTACTCGTTTATAGCAGCAGAAACAAATTGAGTGAAACTGGTTCAGACCTACAGTTTGCTGAATTCTTACCAGGCTGGAATCACGGGCCTATCGTATTTGTTCAGTTCTTGTTACTGGGATGGCACCAAAGTGTACCACAGTACAGAGTATTTCTCATTTGCTCCCCAAAGCAATGGACTCTAGGTATTCTAGGTAGTCAAGCATCTGGATGGAAGATTTCAAATGCAGGTACGGGAGGAAAATCAGACAAGTGTTTTCATTAAAAAGAAAATTATGAGTTGTGATTAGCAACAGACAAAACTAGCCATGTTAATTGTTCTTAAGCTTCCTTTTTCTTTGATATTCTAGAGTGACCTAGTAAATAACTGTAATGCATTCTGAAGCCAGGAAATTGATTGGTGCAATACCACTCACTAGACTTCAAATTTCAGAAGTTTTTGCATCTACTTGTGTTTTAGAATGTCTGTGTATGTTATTATGACATTTATCACAGCTATATGTTCTTGTAATCACCGCCACAGAATAGTTCCATGGCTATAAAAGAGCTCCCTCGTGCTGCCTCTGTACAGTCAGACCTTCCCACCATTTCTTGTGCTGATCTGTTCTCCATCTCCAAAATGTTGTAGTCTGGAGAATTTTATATTAAAAGGATCTGTACAATCCTGGTACCCCTCGGAGGCTGGCTCTCCCCGCCTCCCACAATGCACATGCAGACATGCATGCACACGCGCACACACATACACAATATAATTATCTTAAGAGCAGCCAGGTTGTCCTGTGCCCCTGTGATCTACTTCTTTTCATTGCTAGGCCATGTTCTATTGTTCAGATGCATCAGAGGTTGTTAATCATTCACCCATTGAAGGATACGGTATTTAGATTGTTTCTAGCTTTTGCTACTATATAAAGCTGCATGAACATCCTGTTGTTGTTGTTTTTGTTTTTGGTACTAGGGATTAAAATCATGACCTCACACTTGCCAGGCAAGTGTTTGTGCCACTGAGCTAAATCCCCCGCTTCTGATCAGGTTTTTGCGTGAACAAAAGTTTTTATTTCTGTAGGGTAAGTTCCCAGAAATGATTGCTGAAGACTCTAGGAACTCATTTTCTCCTTTCCCTCTCCCCTTCCTTCCTCCCTCCTTTCCTCTCTTCTCTCCTCCTTTCCTCCCTTCTTCCGTATTTCCAACTGCCAGACTGATGAACAGAGGGGCTGTGCCATTTTACAGTCTCACCAGCAGTATATAAGAGATCTCTGCACCTTGCCAACACTCAGCATCTGTCTTAGTTACTTTTCTCTCTCCTCGTTGAGACAAAATACCTGACGCTCAAAGTTAGGGAAGGGAAGGTTTATTTCTTACAAGTCGTAGGCTTCAGTCCATACTCAGGTTGGCTCCAGGTGGCAGGGTGGCATGGCAAGGTCACCATAAACAGTGAGGGCGAACAGCAAAAGAAAAGACACGTCTTCTCGCCGTTACACTGTGTTGGCTCCTCGCCTGGGCAGGTGCAGCACTCACACCACCAATCCGAATGCTACATAATGAACTCATCACTAACACTAGGTTCAGCCTCGTCCACGATTGCATGAGACTTGGGGAGCCACTGACATAAACCATGGCAGCATGACTGGTGATGTTTATCTTAACCATTCTAGCAGTGTATGGTGGTATATCAGAGTGGATCTAATTTATAGTTCTCTGATGGTTAATGACGTTGAACATTGTTCCATGTGTTTATTTGCCATACTTCTGTCTTCCTGGGGGAAGTGTCTGCTTGAATCTTTCTGCTGTTTTCTAATCAGGTTGTTTTCTTATTACTGAGTTTCAAGAGTTCATCATATATTTTGGCTATAGGTCGTTTGTCAGATATACGATTTGCAAATATGTTTTTCACTGCTTCTTATCCTTTATTTAATTGTTATTTTTGAAACCTTCTATTTGGTTCTATTTCCAAAGTCTGCCTGATCTTTTTTCAGAGATTCTTGTACCTTTTCTTTATTATTTTGAACTTTTTTTCTAAAGACCTTTTCTATATATTTCTCCTAAATCTTTTCTTTAAAAAATTAGTCCTATTTCAAGAATTATAGTACCTGAGGTTCCAGTTCTACATTTTGTACTGTTTGCTGACCCTGTTTTGTGGTATTGTTTCCTTACATGTTTTATAATTTCAGACAATCAACATCCTGTCCCCAAAATGTAATCTTTAGAAATCCCTACAGAGGCCATGCAAAGGAGACATTTTGCAGGAGACATTCTGCATTTATTTTTGCGACATCCCCAGGAGAGCCGACAGCCAGCATATTTTATGCTATCATCTCAATTTAGCATTTCTTAGACTACGCCCACAGCATGGATTTGGACACCAGGGGGTTTCATGCCTATAAATATATTTTTTAAACTCCTCCCTGATGGGTGGGTTTATTTTTTCCACTCATTTGTTTTTAATTCTGCACTGCTTCAACCCAGCTTCCTGTTGTGGTTTTAGTTCCAATCTCGTGTCTCTGGGGCCTGAGACTTTATCTCCTGTTCCCATGCAGGGATTAGGATCCATTCCCTTTCCCCAAAGCGGTTCCAGCTCTTGTGTCAGATTCTGATTTTCATTTCCTTCATTATTCTTTCTGCCTGAGGATTTTACGAGTTGTCTTTTCATTTAAAAAACCATTTCTTAAAAATAGTACATCTATAAATATTTATCATATTTTACTCAATCTTCTTTGTGTTTACTAGTGGGAGAGTTTCCAAATTATCTATCCGACTATTTTGCCTGATAGTTGTATAGAACAAAGTTATGAAACACTATTCTAATGTCTATAGTTAGCCAGTGCATCATATGATGAAATACAAGGCCCTTTATCACCTTGGAAATAAAATTTGCTTTAAGAACATGATTACAAGTCTCTAACTCCCAGAGCAAGTAACTTTCCACTCTTTATTCTAGTTTATTTTCTTAAAGCACTGACACTTTTTTTTTTAATACTTAAGGTATATGTAGCACAACTCTCTTCCCCAAGAGGTTGCGTGTAAAGCCATAACAAATGGATAGCAGATACACGCAACACCTAAGAAGTTACCTAAGACATCAGTAGGGGTCTAGACATAGTGAATACAATATAGGTGGTCAGAGATACAGGAATGAAATGTGATTTCAACTAAGAAAAGGAAAATTTAATAAAATTTAAAGTGAATATAAACAGTCCAAAAAGTGATTTTCTTCAAACCCTCCAGAAAACATATCTGAGAGCAAGAATTTGGCAATGTTTCTCCAGCTAAAACCAAGGTCGATGATATCTGATCTAGAAGATATGGTACAAAGATCCTTCACTGTACTTCCCTACAGCCGGAACGGAAAAGCCTTTGGGAGCATTCCTTTGATCGGGTTTCAGAGATCCACATCAGGCAACCGTGTGATTCCAATTTTGTCTGTTCAGGTGTTGCACATGGCAGATGGGAGCATCTCGGTTTGAGAAAAAGACTGCCCCTCCTTGGAGCTGGTGAGCTGCCATTCGGGTTTATACATGATTTTCCTGCAGACTTGGCAAGCAGATCAGCCTTGATGAGCCCTGATGCAACATCAAATTCACTGTTTGTCGAGCCAAGGATCAGACTGCGAAGGTCAGGCCAGAGCAGCAAGACATCCTCCAAGATCTGTGTTTCCTCAGAACCCATCCCGGGGCCAGCAGCACTGAATGACCCGGGAATTTTTAAAAAATATCAGTTCCTGGCTCCCACTCCAGCCTTTCTTGAATCACAGAGGAGATGAGGAAGGAAGAAAGCACAGCAAATCGGTACTTTTCACAGTCTCATTTGATAATCCTTAAGCAGCAGATTGGGGAAGTGCTGTCCGAGATCACTGTCTTTGTCACCCCTTTTTAACTGGAACATGTGTATTGTTTTTTGTCTTTGCCCCAAAATAATGATTCTATTGTAGAAGACTTGATAAAATTTAATGTGATCTCTAGTACTGTAGGCTTAATCATCCCACGGGTAACTGCATTTTGAAATTTGATATTATTTGTTAGTACAAATAAATCTCTTCAATATTAGAGCATTATCCTCTGGGGCAAGGAAGAAGGTCAGGTTTGGTTCTGTTCACCTTTGACCCACTTTCTGCATCTTTCTTCCATAACTGGTGTCCTATCTACCTAGATTTTAAAAAATGTACATTTCCAAGGTGAAATATGAACTATCTGATCCTGACCACATCTGGGTGTAATCTCAGTTTGCCTTAGAAGATTCTGGAGGAGACAGGATTACAGCAGGACCAGCTTTAATCTGTGGGTCTTGGAGAGCTATGATTAGGGTTTCCTGTTATTTTAGTGGGGGGATTAAGCATTTTGATATCTTACTTTCTACTTATTGTTTTCAATTGGGAAAGACAATGAAAATTAGCAGAGAAGGGAGAGACTGAACAAGCAATTAAATATGGCTTTCCCCCAAGAATCTGAGTCGGTGCTCTTTTCATAATGGCTGTTTTGGAGAATTTTTCTCCAAATTAATCTGCTTCTGGAATTCTCATGGTGATATACTTTTATTCGATTTTGAGCTAAACAGAGGCTATAATGGAGCTAAGTGACAGGTTAAGGCTACTTTTTCTCCTTTCTTTTCAACTCTGAAACTGTCATAAACAAATACGTAATAATCCATTGCTTGGCATTCCATTAGACTATTGCAACTACCTCTATTTTTAGACTGCCTGTGACCTGTAATATAGCTTGGCGTGGCAGACATATAAAACAAAAGTGTCTACAAAGATTGTATAAATTCAAAGGGCTGCATAGCAATATGTGGATGATCAATATCCAAAATTATAACAACCATGTGACCTAGACCCATCAGTCCAATCACCTTCAGGCAGGTTCAGGCAAGGCACAACCATCAGAGACTGAGATCTGCCAAGAGAACGGGCTTAGAATTAGTGATTCAGAATGAGACTGTATTCTGGTAAAGTTGAACAAAATCTGCTTCAAACAAGAAGCCAGCCCAGAGAAAGATGAAGGGATGGGGAACCAGGGAGTTAAACTATGACAGCACTGGCATACATGGAGCTGGAGAAAGTTGAACTTATCATTTCTTCTCAGAGGTACCACTACAAATGCTTGGAAGGAATAGGATGAACATTTGTAAGCTAGTACTTGGTCTCTGAACTATCTGCAGGGCTTTTGTCTTACTGACTGGGATACTGCCTCGTAGGTCCACTTTCCTTCATCCTTCAACAACAGTTCAATGCTAGCCCATCCAAAATTCATGCTGACCAAATGTCTACAGAATGTTGATTTAAATATGAGAGCCTGTCTGGAGTTCCAAGAGTCTCAGTCCGGCCAAGCTTAGACCACACGCGAGGGAGGAAGTAGGTTGTGCGTGGGAGCAAGGACTGTCAAAATGGAGAAGGAGACACAGTGGGCAGAGTGACTTTTAGAGCAGCAGAGTTTTGTTTAAAATCAAAGTACCTGGGATGCAATGTATGGGCGATTTAACGAATGATCACTCTGAATTTTAGTTTCTTCATCTGCAAGATAAGGGTAAATATAACACCTACTTGTAGTGGAGTTTTTGTTTTGTTTTTTGTTTTAGATGAAATTAGAAAATGATATGTAAGGGCAACAGAAATCACAAGAAGCCTCAAAATTCTAGCAGTTTTATATCTGTTCTGGGTGTTAGAGACTGCCTAGGATACAGCTGAGCATGTGTCTAAGTGAATGTGGATCCTGGAATGCAGGAACCTATGTTTCAAAATCAAAGTTAAGAGACACATGCCCTGCATGCCTAAACTGGAGAACGCTGAACCAGAAACTGCGCAAGATTTTGCCAGTTCATAGGAAAAACAAATGTGCTGTAAAGTACTTTTCTCATAAAGCACTTTTACACAAATTTGAGGACGTTTTTTCTCTAAGATTCTATTCTTTAAGACTTTTGTTTTAAAATATTACTTTTTAAAGGAGATTATAGGGCGAGGTTTGGAGATCAGTCAACAGCGTCTGCCTGGCAAGCACGAGGCCCTGAGTTTGATTCCCCATACAAAAAACAAAAACAACCCACGAGATGTATATACAGGCTCCTATAATACCAGCACTCTGGGAGGCCAAGGCAGCAGGATGGCAAATTTGAGTCCAGCCTGGACAACTTAGTGACTGACACTGTCACAGAATAAAACTAGGGCTAGGAAAGTAATTTAGTGTGAACGCCCCAGGTTCCATTCCTAATATCACAACACATAAGTAAATAAATAAGCAAACAAAGAAACACAAAGATTATACTAACAGACGCTTATAGTGATTCTTCTTATTAGCAAACAATATGACGGCAACTCATACAATTATGTCAATACTGTTTTCCAAGTTTTTATTCAGCCACAAACTCTCAAGTTTAGGACTACTGCCCTTAGAGATTCCAAATGAATATGCAGAAATTTGGGTCACCACCTCCATGCCATTCTCTGAGACTTCAGCCTCTAAGGTGGGCAGTCTTTGAAAGAAGTCAAAATTCTATGGGTAAAAATAAACTACATAAAGTCATTTCGGAATGTTGTTCTAACAAAACAGATAGAAAAATTGTTTTTTAATTTTACTGGGGTTTTGACATCTCTTACTAACAAAACAAATGAATAAGAAGTCTAGTCTTAAGAAAAATGAAAGCCCCAGATGATTTATGGATAGAAGCAATTGTTTATGACGATTTCACAGCTGGTTTAATTAAAAGGGCAAAATGAGGAGCTTGCTTCACACAATTCCCTTCATATTTTTCATGTCTCTGCATTTTCCAAAGTAATTTTAAGAGGACTGATTTTTTTTTAACCACATTGGATGGATTTTGGCTGCACTGGTAACAAATTGTATTTCAACTTTCATATGTGAGTCAGTTCACAAATCAAGATGGAAGCATCAAAGAAGCTTTAAAGATGCCATCAAGAATTTGCAGGCAGGGATGTAGCTCAGTGGTAGAACCTGTACTTAGTATGCAGTAGCTCTGTGTTCTATCCCGGGCACCAAAAAAATGAATTTGCATATTAAGCTATTTTTATCATTCTTGCTGTTTCCAATTAAATGTATTATATGGGTAAATTTATAGAGGTATATTTTTGATTCATCTTCAAAATCCTTGTTAGTTTGAAACCATTCTCTTAATTTCAGCTATTAATGCTTCCTAATTCTCCTTTATGGTAGCTTGATTCTTTGTGTAGTTTGCATTTTTTTCATTAAAAAGTTATCCTTAGAGAAGTTTTTTTTCCTCCCAGGAGACTCCTGGTGACTATGAATAGTCTCTAAAAGGAAGTTTAATCATTCCATCTACAGAGGCCCCCAGGGTTTTTCAGTTGTCCTGTACTCATTTTATTTAATTTCTTACTCGCAGCCCTGGTACTTCACAAACAGTATAAATCTGGCCTCTACCCTGCACATGCACAGGTCCGAATTTTCAGTGTTTCTTAATCGACTAATCAAAATTGTACATAGCAAACTCAAATCTACTGCTTTTCTGGCTGCCCCGTGGATTTTCACTTATTTTATGTGAGCCATTGTCACTCTTGGGCTACCACTTATTGAATACTTACTATATCTTAGCTCTTTCATAGAAATTATAAGAACCTCTGTTCCATCTGCTGGGGACATATCAGTCAGTTCCAGCTACTCGTGTACCTGTGCTTATCAATACTTGAAAGACTTGATTTACTTCAAGACATTATAAGCATAACAAATTGATTACTGAGAATGACTGAACCCATGCTTTGGAAATAATAAATTCAGCTTGGCAGTTTGGTTGTTTATATATATAGTATATAATTGTAATATCAACCAACATCGAATCATTGTCCACCAAGATTTAGTGGAAACCCTTGGTCCTGGGCAACTGGAATTGAGTCCCATGTATTTGAATTTAGATTGTCTCATTCTTTTTAGTCCTATCCACTCTCTGATCTCATTTTCTTGTTTGACACTGTTTCGCCCTAAATACTCTGTAGACTGATAAGTTGGATGCTAGAATATATGCATATAATTTGCAGAAAATTTTAAAGTTTTCTTATTGCAGTGGTTCAAAATTTGAGTACTGGAATATGCTAAGTGATTTTCTGTTTCCTAAACTCACTATTCCTCTTCTCAATCTATGCATATGAAATTGCTCTCCCTGGAATCCTACCCTAACATTTCAGTTTGGTGAACTCCTCTAACGCCCTTTGGGACCTAATTCAAATGCAGAATCAAATGCCCACCATCGTCTTCCCTGATAATCCATTTTTTCTCTGTTCTTCCCATAGTATCTTTTGCATAATCACAACTAGATTTGCATGTGTCTATTTCTCCCATTAATTATGAACTCCCTTAAAAAGAGGGAGTGTGTTTGTGCTTCCTATATCTTCTGCAAGTAAGAACTTGAACATAATACATAGGTTATGAAGAAATGATTGGGGAGTGAAAGAATAAGTGTTAAAAGTTTTTATTTCATCAGCTATATTTTTATGTCTTTAGCTATTTCTATCCCTTTTCTAGTATAAAACTATATATAACATTAGGAAGGACTAGGGATGTGTCTCTTCCACCATGACGTTGCTGATGATTTTTGCAAAATGTCTGTGAATGCTTCTACAAAACTACCTTCTGAAACTGTGGTGGAGGTGGTTTTATAGAATTTATCGACTTGGATTAAAGTCCCAATTTGGCTGCTTAATGGTTTGAAGCTCATAATTTGTGGCTCACAGTTAAGCTCATAAGAACCCCAGTGACCCCAGCAAAGTCAGGAGCAGCTAGAATCTACCACTTACTCTTTAATGAGCCACCAGGTTATACACATCATTCCTGGAAGCACTGGACCCTAGCAGCACACCCAACTTGTGAATACTTCATCACATGGAGAATGTTTAAAGGCCAACCCACTGCACTCAGTACTTAGGGAAGAGCTGAGAAGCTATCAAGACAGAAGACTATGACCTCAACTGTACCATGCAAAGGCTCAAAATGTGCAGACAGACTCAGAAATAGATGGCAAAATGTGGAAGAAAGGCTTGATTTGGATGCTGATTTCTAACTTCAGTAAATTGAGCTCAACATCAAAAGACTGGGTCATTCCTGGCCAACCACGATTTTGTGATTCTAAACTTTCTCATACTCCTTTTCCACCATGAGCTCATTTTGGGGGTGGACTTTCATCCCACTCACACAGAGAATAGATGCTGGTTTGGTGGCTGACATTTGCCTGTGAGAATGTGAATCAGGGCTTTATGTTTGCTTTGCATGTGTACATGGTCTGGGTTATTTAATGCTGACTCCATGCTTGGCCACTCATTCCACCATTATGCCATCTTTTTGTGATAAGAAAACAGAGAACAGGGGAAGCAATTAGTTATGACATTATTGATAGAATTTTTCCTGCATCATTCTACCTCTTTTTAATTTTATTCTTATATTTTGTTATCCAGCAAAGTTATTAACTTGTAGCACTTGAAGAGATTTGTGAAACTTGGGTTTTTTCTTTTCTTTTCTTTTCTTTAATTGTACAGCCTTTCTATCCAATTGTTCTCTTACCTCTGTTGCACTGCTTCCTTGACAGGTGACTTACCTCCCAGCAGGCAGCAGGGTGTGAGATACACTGAGTTTTTCTGCTGAGAGATGTCAACTCTTTCAGAATGAGAGGTCTTTGTGCTCAGCTGCTGACTCATGCCCATCATAGAATATTCAGTCAGTAAAAGCTAAAGAGCATGAAAACTAACTAAACTTATTTTTAGATCTTCATAGTAGAAGACATGAGTCTAGAGTACCCCCCATCCAGTTGGGAATAGAGAAATATTAATAAGCAAAGTAACTTATTGGGATAAGATAGTTTTTAAAAAACACAAACATGCTAGAATAATGTGGAAAACAACAAATCTTACACTTCATTTCACATCATTCACAAAAACTAATTTGAGATGTATAATAACCCTGAATATGAAATCTACAAACATAAAGTTTCTAGAATCAAGCCTAGAACAAGAAAACTTTTGTGACTACACTTACTCAAAGATTCTTTAGGGCCGGGGGGGGGGGAGCGGTCTAGATAAAAAAGGGGGGAAACTGGATTTAATAAAAGTTAAATATCTATATGCATCAAAAGACATTAGAAAATAAAAAGGCAAGCTATACCTGAATGAACTATCCACAAAACACATGTCAGTAAAGGACTGTTATCCAGATACTGTTAAAAGAACTCCTACAATTCAATAATAAAACTAAAATTTAAAAAAATCAAAATACTTGACCTGACATTTCATAGAAGAATATATATAAAAAGCCTGTAAGTACATGAAAGATGCTCAACTTCATTGAATGATGGCAAATTAAACCACAATGAAATACAACTATGTGCCCATTAGAATGGCTAAAATTAATAGACGTAGTACTAAAAGTTGTCAGTAAAGATGTGGAGCACCTGGAACGCGCCTGCATTCCTGGCATAGCCATTTTGGAAACTTTTCTTAGTTTCTTACACGTATTTTCCTGTTATGACTCATAATCTCCACTTCTAGGTATTTATTCAAGATAAATGATAACAAAATTTTATAAGACTACTTGTTTAAAGCAGCTTTATTTACAATATCCCCAAATTGAAAACAACCCAAGATGTAAATCACACAGGAAGATAAACAAATCATGGTATTTATACAACAGAATATCAACCCTGGAAAAGAACGAACTGCTGATACAAGCAACACCACCACTGAATCTCAAAACAAGTCGAGTAAAAGAAATCAGTTACAAAAGATTACATACTCTATGACTATTTATGTGGAAATCTAGAATGGGCAAGACTAAACTGTAGAAAAAGATCAGAACGGTTGCCGTTAGTGTAGGTCTAGCTTGGGAAGGGAATGCGGATGTGATGAAAATATTCTTTATCTTGACTGAGTTGGTAGTTATACAAGTATATTTAATTTTCACAACTCATACAATTTTGCTCTTAAAATCTATTTTTCAAAAGCTAGTTATAAGGAAAACACATAACCACTATGTTTTGCTCAGACCCCACTTGAAACACTGTGTTCAGATTTGAAAACCTTTTGCAAACAGCAGTAAACTCAGCTTCATTTAGATCAGTGTTACCAGGATGAAAGCTCTGGAGCCCAGGATGCAGGACACAGGCAAGGAACTGGGGAGGTGTGGGCTGGAGGGAGGAAGGGTGCAGTCCTGTTCCGGGGGGCAGCTGTGCTGTGGAAATCTACGTTTACTTACTGCGTCTTTACAGGGCCAAAGAGCAGTGAGTGAAAATGACGAAGGAAAGACTTCCTGAGATGCCAGAGGATGAGAATGTGGAGCAGAGCCAAGCCTGGACCGCCCATTAGGAGGCTGCTGCTGGACCTTGGCCGAGATGTAGGAAAGGCCTGGACCACACTGCTGTAAGGATGGAGAGAGCTTCTTGAAGGGGAGAGTGGATATGAAAAATTTCAGAAAAGAGAGTTGACATGAATCATGTATACAAGTGAGTGTGCGCATGCTTGTGTGTGTGTGCAGGTATGGCTTTGGGAGACACAAAAGAGAGCAATGAATTGAGAGTGGCTCTCACCTTTAGCCTAAGCCCTCAGTGTGGGTCACATAATCATATGAATCAGGCTACAGTATTAAAAATAGTACATCTTAAAATTCAATGGCATCTGACTAAGCAATTGAGGTGGATGTTAAAGAAAAGGTGATTGAGTCACTGATACAGGAACCGGAAGTCCAACCGCCCACCTGGTTGATAACTTCTAAGATCCGTAGGTAAGTCTTGCCAGTCAGTCCTGATTGTTTCTGCACTTACGCCTCTTTGCTGTCTTATTCCTCCCCCATCACGCACATTTTGTACTGTCTGTCTCTGCTCACTGAAGTATGAGCTTCTGGAGAACAAGGAGTCTTGGTCTTGTTTGCTGCACCGTGCCCCAGATTTGGAAATACGACTGAGCACAGGTGCTCAGTAAGCAAGCGAGGCCTGGGTGGGGATTAATGGTAACAGGACTGCAGTCTATACCTTTCTCCCCGTTTCTTTATTAGCTCTGGGAACCGCCAGTCCCGCCTTCAGTCTGTATAAATTTACCAACTCTGGATGTTTCCTATAAATAGGGTCATACAATATGTGACCTTTGGTGTCTGGCTTCCTTCATCCATGATGAAGCTTGCAGCAGGAAGCCCTTTGAAGGCTGAATAATATTGCATTGTATAGATCTATTGCACTTTTATCTATGAATTCATCGTTAACAGGTGTTGGGTCTGTGTCTGCCATTTGGCTGGTGTGAGTTTTGCCTCTGTGAACAACTGTGTACAGCTAGGTTTGGGCCCTTGTTTCAGTTCTTTTAGGTACACAGCTAGGAATAGAATTGCTAACTATCCTCTTTTTACATCTGCTTCTTTTGCTAGTGGCCTGTTGGAGCCCAAATGACTGTCAAATGGCTCACGGAGAAAATCAATAACTTCTTTTAAGGATCTGTGAACAGATTAGAGGCTACTAAACTCATAGCCCTTGGCTAAAGCTGAAGAATTGGGTATCATAAGGAGGTGGATGAGGAAGCTGCTGTAGTGCATCCCTTGTGTCGGATGGATTGAGCTGAGGGTGAGCAGTGTGTGTGTGTGTGTGTGTGTGTGTGTGTATGTGTGCACTGAGGCACTGGTATGCGTGTATGTGATCACAAACACCCTGTGTATCAGTGGGTTCCACAATTGCAAGTCAAACCAACCACAGGTCAAAAATATTCAGAAACTAAAATGTGTTTGTACTGGACATATGAAGACTATTTTGGTAGTCATTAGTCCCTTAACAATAGAGTATAACAAATATTTTCCTAAAGTTTACACTGTATCGGTCATGATACATCATTTACAGTTAAAACAGATGTGAAGATGTGCATAGGTTATATGCAAACACTATACTGTAAGGGACTCGATTGGGATATTTGTGGAGGGTCCTGGAGCCAATTCCCCATCAGCACCTAGGGATGACTAGGCACGGATTTAAGGGCATCTGTGAAACTCTTTCCAGAAGGCAGGCAGGTAGTGTACTTGTCCACCTATTCATATTCCCATCTAGGAAGTCTTTCAGCTCTGCCATTAGTTTTTTTTACATCAGTTACCACGTAAATATAACCTAGAACAAGATTTTTTTAAACCGAGGAAAAACAAAAAGTATTTGACACTAAGCAAGCGTAAGGTCAATTTTCTGAGCTAACACACTGCTTACATTGTGACCAAGTGGGCTGGGGGTGAAGGCTTGCTATTTTCCACTACGTGAATACCCTGTGGACTGGATTTGGAAACATTTCACTATGGCAGTTTTAAGACATTAAGTCGCTGCTGGCTCTCATTAGTAATCATCCTAATAAATAGAATGCCATTTTAAACAATAAGTGTTTCAGCGTTCCTGCTCAGTAACTGTTCTGTTTTGGAAAAGTTAAGCATGTGGGCCAGTATGTTAGAGAGGAAGAAGCCACGGTCAACACTGCAACAAGAAATACTCACCTAAGCAAAGGGCTCGGGGACATCTTACTGAAACTCTCTGCGGGTCCCACATCTTTCCTTCCCACCTTGACCGTGTAATTTACTTCTGCGTGCTGCACGGAGCGTGTCCAGCGCTGCCCGTGCATCTCTGCAAGAGCAAGCTTTTTCCCGCCTGTTTTGCGTCCAGATGCCTCGATCACTCACAGCCCAGCCCCGACTGCACATTTTCCATTGTGGAGGTTACCGACAAAGGAGCAATCACCCGGAGGTGGAATGGTTCAGATATTTTCCTGTTCGTAAATCTCGGAGGGAGCCCTACACAAATCTTACTTTAATTATTTTCTTTCAGAATCCCAAGGTCAACAGGAACAACTCTTTGGGAGCCAAGTTTCTATTTCGATGTTTAACTCTCCTCATCATCAACCCTACAAAGTGTCTTAACTGGCGATGGTTTTTATAAGAAATCTGAATTTACTTTGTGGGGTTTTGTGCACATGTTGGTAATGCCTGCAGAGAGAAAACTCCGAGGAGGCATCCTGAAGTTCAGTATCTAGATTTTTGTTTAATTACTAGGAAAAATTACTTAGGAAAACTCCAAGTTTAAATTCTATCATTCCAAACAAAACTGCTCCCATCTCCATACAATGTTCCTTTAGAATTTAATAGTATATAAAATGCATCAAAGTGTCATCCTCCCCTAAACCTTATGACTGTTACTATATCCCCATTTTCCAGATGACAGAGTTGAGGACTGTGAAGAAATAGAGCATAGTGGTCAACTGCATGGACTCCAAAGTAAATGAACTAGGATTGATCCCTGCTCTACCCAAATCAAGTTTCTTCATTTTTCTTTCTCAGTTTCCACATCTGTAAAATGGAACTCATCAAAAAACCTTGTAACTAAATCGTAGTGGTTGAGCATCTTGAGTTGTGTATGTTTAACTTAGTGAGGGCATGAGAAAGAGATTCTTCTGCTCCATCTCCCATGACTGGTTGTGAGAACCCTTGGCTCTAGTCTGGGACAAAGATCTGTCTGCCAGTGTTCATTAAAGGGAGACTACAAAATTGAGTGTATCTAGCCATCCGCACCTGCAAGCTGTTTAACTGGTAATTTTTCATAAAACTCAGCTTTGTTTTTCACAAATATGGTGATAGGAACAGCCTCGATCTCGTAGAGATATCACAAGGATAAATGAAGTTGTAAGCACCAGGACTGGCAAATGATACTTTGGACCTGTTATCAGCAACCATTATTAGGACTAACATAGTATTTCATGTCTACGATTATTTTTACTATCACTTAGCCTTCCAAATCCATGCTAATTTCTTTGCCTCTCAAAGGAAGAAAAGAAAACAATTGCTACTGCTTTTCAGAAGAATTTCCAATACTGTTTGTTCTTCAGCCACATCCACTTATTTTTCACTTCAGACTCAAATACTGACTTCTCTGTATCATGAACACTGTAATCCATTTAGGAGAAACAAAGAATCCGGGAATTGCAACCCCAGCCCAGTACTATTTACTGTGTGACCTTGCACAAATTTCCTGACCTCTCTGAATCTCAGTTTCTTCCTCTCTTTAATGCTTAGTTAACATGTTTAAAAATCTCTCCATTGGTGTGTGTGGGTGTGTATACGTGTGTGTGGGTGTGTATACGTGTGTGTGTACTACATACTACATGTACAGTATTGTTTCTCATAATAACTGTATTATTTAATAACACTTTGTAATGAGTGCAGCCATCTTTTTATTTTTAATTTTCCTGTAAGATAATGCACCGAGTTCTGCAGGGAATTAACAGCAAAGACAGCAAACAAAGTACAGCGCTGGCCTTCAGTGTCGCTTTGGCTGGGATACTGTCCATGCTGAATCATCCAGGCCTCCTCTACTGAAGCCTCCCTGGTCTTGTGGGATTGCTCAGGGCGGCAGTGAGGTGTACTCCACCCTCTTCCTCCTCTCGAGAGTACTCTTATTATCCTTGATCCAGATGCCTCTGCATTATTTTGCTTCAGAAATTTTTCAAAAATGGCTCAACACTTTGCAAAATATTTTCAGTGTTTCTTAATGGTGTAGCTGCTACATCTATCTGTGTATGATATGTCTGTGCAAGAAGGCAGACACATAGAATTGTGGAATTGTAGAATTGTAAATTCTTTTTTTTTTTTGACCAGAGATCAAACTCATGACCTTGTGCTTGCCAGGCGGTACTTATGCCACTGAACTAAATCCCCAGCCCAAATTGTAAATTCTATCTGACATCAAATTTGATAAACTTTGTACCTCTCCAATGCTTAAATCTGGGAGCTTCCATGAATTTTTCATCTGTGACTAAGCTGGATTCCCCTTCTGTACACTCAGATTTCTAGGGACCCAATAGCTTTCACTTTCCTAGTATTAACAAAGCCTTTGAAGTCTATCCAAAGGCTTTTAAGATTTGACCATGGGACCTTGAGCAAAACCACAGACTTGTGGTCAGGAAAATGAACTGATGCCTCAAAATCCATCTTATCCAAAGAGCAATTCGTGGCTGAAGTTTCTGGAAGAACCATTCTGAACAAATTTGTGAAGGACCATGACTAGGAAGGGGCAAGCACCTTTGCCCACCCTGGAGGATCCTTGGGTTAGTGGAAATGGCCCGGAATTCTCTGCAGCCAGCCTTGGGGGGCCCGTGTGCAGAAGACAACAGTGGGATCCCCAGGCACAGCTGGGCCACACCCCAAGCTTATGGTCACAGGGAATTCATGCCCTTGACTTGCTCCTGCACTTTAGGTCAGAAATGGGACCCTCAGCATTTCCCCCTCCGGCTGGGCTGAGTGTGCCCAGGCAGGCTCTCTCCCTTGGCCTAAGCCTTTGCCACTGACCAGGCCCCTCCCCGCCTCCAGCCTGCAGGGCAGCCAGCCTGAGGGCAGAGGCTGCTGGGAGGCCAAGCTATCATCCTTGCTTCTTGGGCCCTCTTAGCTGGGAGGGTACCAGGAAGCAAGGTCAGC